AATTCCTGACTGGATTCCTCAGTGGAGAGTAGTGTTTGATGTATGCCTTCTGTTTATGTGCATTCCGGTGATCATTAACAAAGGCCACTTGGTGGCTATCCATGATGAAAGTGGATTTACAAATGGCTGTATCAGCTGCAGTTTTGGCAAGACTGCAACGATTCTACATCGAGTGAAAACCCCTGTGTCATCAATTTGTGTTCAGCCAAGCTTATATGGAGAGAAGAGGCAGTTTAGTCAACCATGCAAAAACAGGGCAGCAGAGACATCATGCATTTCATCTGGACAAAGGTTGAAAATTCTGTATGTTAACAGAGATTCCCTAGCGTATGTGTAAGACATGTTCATCATTCACGATTGGCGAATCAGGATTTAAGCAAGGACAAGTTGTATGTAGATTCTTCGTAACATCCTCTTTCTCAGTGCCTGTGGTCCCCTCTTCCTTTGTTCCCTGGTCCCAACTTGGAGACCTTGAGGACTATTGAGAGACAGAGCCACTACCAGCTTCATAGCTGTGGACCTGAGCAAGATGGGAGTTAAAGGATTCTTCACGGAAGAAACATCCTGACGTTTTCCACTGTGGTTGTTCTTCCACTTGGTATCATGTGACTAAACTTGGTATAAAAGCTGACAAGGGCTTAATGAAAATACTAGAACATGGTACTGAAATAATTGTTACTGATTGAAGTGAGCTACGGCTGCTAACCAAAAGGTCGGCAGTTCGAATCCACCAGCTGTTCCTTGGAAACCCTATGGGGCAGTTCTACTCTATCCTATAAGTTCTCTACGAGTCAGAATCGACTCAACGGCAATGGTCTTGGTTTGGTTTTTCGTTGAAGTAAGAGGCTGGGATAACTGGGTTTGCCTCACTAGTTTGCCTCCGTCTGGGATTCCATTCTCCTGTTTCTCTGCAATCTATAGACATAGTGTACTTTAGCAGTTAAGAGTACAAAGGGGTTCAAAGCTCTGCAATATACAATTTAGTACTGATGAGATCCTGGGAAGATTTACTTAACCTTTCCGTGTCTCAGTCTCCTCATCTGTAAAATGGGGAAAATAATAGTATTTCCTTTGTCAGAAGAATGTAGATGTGAGGATTAGAAGAGCTGATAATTCCAATAAAGCACTTAGCGTTGTCACTGGCTATACCAACTACTATGTAAGTGTTACCAACTCGTTATTTTTTTTCGTGCACACTCTCCATCTCCTCTCCCCTTCTTATCCTGAGCTCTCACAACAGCTGCTTGTTCAGATACCAACTGGGTGTCAAAGTGAACGTCGGAGCCTTTTTTCTGTATTACAGACAGAAAGCGCAGAGCCTTTGGTGTGTGGGGATGTTTGGGGGCAGTGTCCAGGGGGCCAGCAGTATGCGTGGTGGTTAAGAACTCTGGAGTGAGGCCACCTGGCTTCTTGTCCGGACTCTGCAGCTCAGGAGCTTGTCTCTTAAGCCCCTTTTACATCCGTTTCCAAATATGTAAAATGGGAGCCATAGTTATCTGGAACTCAGGGGTTGTCTCG